CATCCTGACTCTGCTTACACATAGTACAAATAATTGTGGGTTGTAAGAAGGTATGAGTTGAGCATTTTACAGGATCAGAGCCTTAATTTGTATATAGGAAAAAAATTGTTCTGGAATGGATTTTTCTTACTCTGATTCAGCTCCGAGTGGATTCTATATGGCCAAATTAGACCCTTAGAGAATATGGGTTGTTGATGAAAGGTTACACATGCTCTGTCATATTGTACCTGTACATCTGTCATACACTATACATCCTATTTAGTAAGAATTATACATCTCTTTGCTAAGAGTCAGATTGTGATGCTTTTACTTACACTAAATAGTACATTCCTCCACAAGTAGCCCCACTGATTTGAGGCAGTGACCTAGACCAAGGGGATAGAGCTCTAGACTAGGACGCAGGAGAGGTGGTTTCTCTTCTGGGCTCTTATTGGCCTCCTGGGCAAGTACACCCCCCACCCCCATATCTCAATTTCCCCATCTGTAAAATGGGGATATGGATACTGACCTCCTTTGTAAAGGAATTTGAGATCTATAGCTGAAAAGAGCTAAGTGCTATTACTACTACTGGTGGTGTAACATACAGTCCAAGATAACTAAGGGCATTACAATCTGCCCCAAAAATTGCTTGGGATGATGCATCTCCTCATACCTTAACCTAGCCTAGAGTAAGAATTGGGCCCAAAATGTTGTAAGGATCCCTCCCACCTCACTTGTCCTGAAAATTACCTGAAATATTCAGACACATCCCTCTGTTTTACCTCTTTTTTCCTCTGTCTGAAGAATGTAGGAATGGCCAGCAGGGAAAATATCAGGAATAAAAGCAACAGCAACCTGAAGATGAAACAGTACACAGGCAAAGCATCATCTGTGCTCAGCTACATGGCAGTTCTCACAGCTCCCCCCCACTCCACTCACAACCTGCATCCAAGAATAAAAGGCATCTCAGGTGTCACAAAGACCTTATTGAATGACTATAAATTCTGTGCATGCCATGCACAGGACTTGGATATTGGGTTGTTCTAAAGAATCCAGCACTGTCATTAAAGGCAAAACGGTTATTCGATCTGCCAGTCCTGCACTATAGAATATAAAATATGGCCCCGATCGCCCCTCCCCCCCCGCCACTGCTGTATCTTGAACCTGCACATCCCTCTAACACATGAAGTGCACACAATTATTTTACTGTTGTCAGTATTGGCAAACTCAAGTGTTTGAAAATTAGGAGTCAGGCCACCACAAATGATGAGATATTTTAAAATAACCTCATTATTTTAACCCAGACAAGTTTTGGGCTTTTTTTTTTTTTTTTTTACTTAAAACAAAAAACAAACGAAACAAACAAACAAAAACTTGGAGCCTTTCGGACATACTCAGATCACATTTTCAAACTTTTTTCCACCACCAGAGTGCTAGAGCCTTTATTAGAATCTATATTAGATCTATATTAGATTCTGAAAGGTCAGAATCTAATATAATCAAATAACTCCAGGAGCTGGGTCTTTAAAAAGCTAAAACTCCAAATATCACAAGAATTGATATCACTTATTAAACCCTGGGGTGAAATCCTGGCCCCATTGAAGTCAATGGCAAAACACGCATTGACTTCAGTGAAGCCAAGATTTCACTCCTGGCATCTACCATTCAGTGGAAGGTGCAGCGCTGTTGTCTGTCCCCTCTGAAACCTCCCTCTTCTCCTTTGTTTGTAAGCAGGGGAAGTTGAAATGTAAAGGAGACTCTCAGCTTTCATTACAATTTTTTTCAACCCTTTGAAGAGCCTGGCAATTGGCACCAGTTAGCGGATTGCAGAGGTTGAACAGGAGCTGCATCTGGGCTCTCTCTCTGCAGCAGGAGCCAAAGGACCTCACAATCTCTCACACACTTTCTATGTCAAATGAGTTTGAGCTGTATCCCAAAGAACCATTTCACCAATCCCAAAACAACAGGAAGCAGCAGCCATTCTGGGGGGAGGCTGCCCCAGGTTCCCACACCCCCACTTATTCTTAGCAACTTGCCCCCCCCCCACCACCCCCACCACCACCACTCAGAGAGTTAGTAAAAGCTGGGAATAGAAACCAGGTCTCCTGAATCCCAGTCACATGTGCACGAGCCACTGGGCCACACTGCCTCCAATGCACTCAAGTAGGGTGACCAGCCAGCCAGTGTGAAAAATCAGGACGGGGATGGGGGGTAATAGGAGCCTATATAAGAAATAGACTAAAAAATCAGGACTGTCCCTATAAAATCGGAACATCTGGTCACCCTACACTCAAGAGGAGTGGCTCCCATTAGGCTGCCTAGAACTTGAACTGGGTGCAGCCCAAAGTTTTCAATGTATATCTTGGAGTGCATTTAAAATCTTTCATAAACTTTTAGTAGAAATGGGAAGAAAGCAAGCCATCACCCCAGCTGAGAATTTTTTGAAAGTTTTTATTAGAGGTATATTTTTGCCAAAATAAATAGTTACACTTTCCTCAGCAAAACACTAGAAAACAAGAACAGGAGGGTGAAAAAAGGCATCAAAATTTTAATGCTGAACGTTCAAGTGACTGAGTGCTACTTAATGACATTACTGTGTAAATAAATCAATTGCTTATGTTGTCACTGGTCTAATTGCTGCTCTGACTTCCTGCAGTACTCTACATACTCTGCACTAGCACACCTCATCAGCAGGAGAGCTCTCAGGAGGAGCTGGCATACAGAGTTCTCATCTATACACTGCAAGTGAAACAGAAAAGTTTTATTTCTAGACCTGTACTTGGCATCTGCGGTTCCCTGCACTTTGTGGAAGGCCTGAGTGTATCAGTTGCTAATGGATTAGAGATTTACTGTAGTGGAGCCCTGCACAGAGAGAGAGAGAGAGAGTGTGAGTGAGTGAGTGAGATTTCTCGTTTCCCTCCCTGATATGAAGCATGTTGAGAAACAACTCTCTGCAGCCGCATTCAGAAAGGCAGATTCCACAGGGAGAGTGGAAAGGGGGAGGTAGGGAGTGTGATGGGGAGCGCAACAAGGAAAGGAATGGCTGGCAACACGGTGTAAAGAAGGCACGTGGTGGAGTCCAGCACAATGCTGAACTGGCAGATGCATGTGACTGACCAAGCTAGTCCATTGTTTCCTTATCTCCTCCTAAATCAAATGAGAAAAATGTATTTATGCGCTCTGAATGGCGAGCTCATGGGACGCTTGCAAGCTCAACATAGCATTGACTAGAGAGGGACTGCGCAAGGCAGACAGCAGGAATCTTGTCCACACCCCCGTGAACACAAGAGCCCTTTCTCCCATGGGAAGTGGTGGAAGTCTCATCACTGAAGTCATAGAAAACCAGACAGAAGCAGGAAGACTCTTTATTGTAGTCTGGTAACAGCCCTGCATTGGCAGACGGATGACCTAGATGACTGGAGAGAGCTAAGTTTCTCTGGCCCCCTATGATCTTCCATAAGGGAGCAATCCCTAGGACCACTGAGTATCAGAGAAGAGTTGGGCATCCTCTCCCCTTTAACAGCCACTTGCAATAATATTAGCATTGAGGCAGACACTACACAAACGCAGCATATGGTACATTCATCGTGGCTTACAGAGCAGGTTCAGAAGACATGCAGTGTTGTGCATAACATAACATAATCTAGTCATTGGTTATATACACCAGTTCATTACGTGCCTCGTTACAAGCAGCAAGTGGTATTTACATAAGTATATTTATTTTCTTGTGCACGTGGGCTAAGGTGCTATATTAATAAGCTTGACATTACAGAAAGCAAAAAGGATCCTCAAAGACACACAACCTTGGTGTGAAAGTGGTGGAAGCTACGTGGCTCAGGACATTAGACAAAGCACTAGCAATCTGCTGTAGGGAAGTACCCTGCATGGGGATCCCAGGTGATTGGCTCAATGTAATAAGGGTTCTCTCTCATTTCTTAAAGCCACATGCTGACTAGGACCAGCAGCACCACATTCAAGGGCTTTGAACTACTGAGTGATGCACATTAAAGTTGGTTTCTCTCAAGCCAAGTTTTCAAAGTGTCCTCTTGTGTTGGGCACTTCAGATTTTGGGCTGATCAATGTTTGTCTAACCAAAGAATGAGTTACAGCTGGCAAGGAATGTTAGAGATAACAAGAAGGGGCTCTTCAAATATGTCAGACATAAAAGAAAGATCAGGGATGGTGTGGGTCCACTGTTCACTGGAGAAGGTGAGCTGGTATCAGAAGAGGATAGTTAGGCAGAGCTGCTCCTACTTTGCTTCAGTCTTCTCACAAAAAATAATGTGACCGGACGACTAGCCAAGTTACCATAGACGATAAAGGGGAAGGGATGCAGATCGGGATAAGTAAAGAACACGACAGAGATCTTCTGATCAATTTGAATTAATTCAAATCAATGGGGCCTGATGCTATTCACCTGAGGGTACTGAAGGAATTAGCTGAAGAAATCTCAGAGCCAGTGGCAATAATATTTACAAACTCATGGATGACAGGAGAGGTCCTGGAAGACTGGAGAAGGGCTAATGTAGTGCCCATCTTTAAAAGGGGGAAAAAGGAGGAGCTGGGGAACTATAGACCAGTCAGCTTGACTTCAATACCTGGGAAGCTACTAGAGCAATGTATAAAACATTCAATTTGCAAATACCTGGTGGATGAAGGGGTAATAACTCGCAGCCAGCGTGGATATACCATGAACAAATCATGCCAAACCAGCTTGATTTCCTTCTCTGACAGGGTAACTGGTTTTAGGGGGAATGCGATGGACATAATATACCTGGACTTCAACAAGGCTTTTGACACAGTCCCATGTGACATTCCGATAGGTAAGCCAGAGAAATGTGGGCTCAGTGGAATTATTATAAGTGGATACATAATTGGTTAAACAAGTGCAAAGAGTAATGATTAATGGAACGATATAGGGCACAACACACGGGGGGATTGCCCACACTTTGGAGGATAGAGCTAAAATTCAGAGGGATTTTGATAAATTGGAGAACTGGGCTATGGACAGCAAAATGAAATTAAACAAAGACAAATGTAAGGTGCTATGCTTAGGGAAGAAAAAACAAATGCACAAATACAGAATGGGGGAAAACTGTCTAGACTGGACTATTGCAGAGACAAATACCAGGCCCATTTCATCAACTGAGCAGGCACTTGCGCTATGCAGGTAGTGTCACTTGAAGGTTGGCAAGAGGACACTCTCTAAATCACACAAGCTTGTTTCCAGACCAGTGTCTTGTGGGAACAGACAGGTCCACCACCACCAGGGACGCTCCACCCTCAGAGTCCTGCTTGCAGATGGCAATCACAAAATGAACGCTGTGGTTACCCGGTGAGCTCCTGGCTGATTTCTGCCAGAAGGTCTCTATGGTGCACGTCATTATAGGCATTATAGCAATGCTCCTTTTGGTAGAGGCAGATACTCCCACCCACACCAAGCGTATCACACAGGCCATGGCTGCTAGCAAGCAGCATGCAACCTCATCTTCAGGAAGAGAGACACCTTTTCTCATCAGGTCCAGGACACGGGTGCTCTCCTGGACTTTCTAGCTGTTAGTTATTTATCACATGCCAATCACCAGAGTTTCTGGGTGCATCTCCTTTTCTTTACAAAGTGGCATTTGAGAACCTTGTACGAGTCACTATTCTATGTATACAGTATATAGCTGAACTTTAGGCACCCCACGTCCCTACCCCCAAAAGAGGACACATGCAATTGCTTTGGCCTATTGCAGATTGTTTGTGCTAGCAGAGGTAGAAAGAAGCCCCACACAGCCAGAGGCATTGCAAGGAGAGGAACCTTGAAGATGGTTGTGTGTCACAGACACAGTCACAGTGTTAGGATTTTGGCTTTTTCAGTACATACAATCCCCACTGGAAGCCATCTCTCCCCGCCCACTGAGAAGTGAGTCAAGCAACAGGTGGGACTAGACACCCATCCTCTCACGGAGAATGTGCCAAAGAAACAGCTTTGCCAGAAGCATATGTGCAATGGAATGCTACTGGGTTACCTTGGGACACTGCATATTTCAAGGCAGCACCCTTCCAAACACTGGGCAGAGTTCAGCTCTGGTATAACCCCACTGACTCATCTTTTAAGTGACAAAATAAAGATACAGCGGCCTGCACACGGATTTGGCACTTCTTGCTTCACCTCTCCGACTTCCTGGTTCCTCTTGCTCACACTATGCTGTCACCTTCAGGGCAGCACCACCTTCGGTCAGAAGGGGGGGCACACAGCTCCCGCTTGGATTGCTGCCACAGCGGCATCTCTGGGACCGGCAATCTGCATCATCCAACGTCAGCTCCTTCACTAAGGTCCAAACTCACCACAAGCATACACAGGTGCAACGTCACTGGCTACGACGGAATTCCGTCCGTTTGCGCCAGCGGGGAATTTGGTTTCAGGGTTCTCCGGCTCCATGATCCCGTGGAGCTGGAACCCATTCCCCCTCCAGATGACCACCTCCTGGGCACCTGCTGCGACATTCCACCACAAGCCACTTGGACACAACATGCACTGTGCAGTCTTCACCTTCAGCCTTCCTACAAGCCCTTCGCATTCCTTCCCCAACGGCAGCCATCGGGCCAATCCAGGGAAGGAAGGCTGAGATTTTGCAAAGCCACCTAAGGCTAGTTCAATTAAAATGAATGGGAATCAGGCACCTAAATCCTGAAAAATCTCAGCTGAACATCTCATGTCTCCTCCCGACCCCCAAAAAAATTCCCAGGCAGTTTTATCAGTACAGATCTCAGGCCTCTGCAGCCCAATGGAGACAAAGATCCCTAAAGGAGAGAGGCAAGAGAGACCAAGAAGAGATGAAGGAAGCTTAGAGCAACAACTGTGGGTATGCAGTTCTCTCCTGTAACTCTGCAGTCCCAATGCCAATGAAATCTACATTAACAGCAGCAGGGTCAGAGCTGGCTTTGAGTGAGGACAGAGGTCAAAATTTGGCTCCAGTGAAGGAGAGTTGAGAGGCAGGTTTGGGCCCATACGATAGCTGCTTTGGCACTATGGGCTGCTTTACCTTTTGGTAGCACAAACAGTGAAGAGCCACAGGGTGCTGGATTGTTTAAAACAAAAAAACAAACAAAGCCACAAATGTGTAGATCTAAAACCGGAGACAATTAAAACAAGCTCCAGAGCACGAGCTACATCCTGATCTAGGCTACATCCTCCAGGTATGTCTCCTGGAGGAGCCCATTGGAACCGTTACAGCACAGCCAGGGACTGCCACCTCCCCCACGCTGGGTGCTGATACACAGCTCTAAGTGGTCCTCATTAGCAAACGTGTTGACTTTAACACTGTGCCCCTCCCCTAGTCAGGCAAATAGCAATTGGCTACACTGGATGCCACTGCTTTGTTCATGAGGAAGCTCCCATCACAGGCTTGCAAGAATCAAAGGTGGCAGGTTGCTGAGATGCAGGTCTGACCCCACCCGCCCTCCTCCTCCTGGCTGCGGCGGGGGGCTCAGAAGAGTGGCAGACTCTCTTGCACATGGTCTGCCGGCGAGTGTCTCATCTGCAGCCCCTCCGGCGGGAAGACGGAGGCCTGCACGTCCACGTTGATGCAGAACAATCCCAGCATGAGCTGGCGCTGATATTCCTCCCACTTCGTCTTAACGTCCATCAGGGAGAGGTTGCTTCGCATCCACTGAGGCAGTGCCTCGCTGTAGGTAGAGGCCAAGGGGACTGGTAGGCTCTGGGTCCTTCGGAGCTCAAAATGGTAGTAAAGCCTGAAAGGCAATGAACATGGGTTACAACTTAAATACATGGGGGTAGGGACACTCAGACAGCACAGTACAGTGGCCAGGGCACTGGACAGAGAGTTGGGAGACCTAAGTTCTATTCCCGGTTATGGCACCAACCTGCTTGTGTGACTTTGAGCAAATCACTTCACCTCTGTACTCATCCATTTCTGCTCCCACCCTTTGTCTATCTTGCATATTTAGACTTTAAACTCTTCTGGGTAGGGGCTGACTCTTACTAGGTGTACGTACAGCATTGAGCACAATGAAATCCTGATCTCCTTCGGGACCTCTAGGCTTTTCCATACCACAAGGAATATTATTTAGATAAAGTATTATATTCTCACCTCAACCTCAGCCCACGTACTGGCCCATGCGGGGCACTGGCCAGCCATAATTCAGACAAGCAATGCTGGAGCTCTCCTCAAGTATCTCAACACTAGAGCTGGTTGGGAATTTTTTGGCAAAACCGTTTTCCGTTGGAAAGTCCAGATTTGTCAAAACGGAAACTTTCCATGGGAGTCAGTTTCGATTAAACTTTTGTTGGGACGGTTTCCTAAGTCCAGGATAGAATTTCTGGATAAAACCAGAGACAGAGAAAGAGCTATATCCCAGAATAACCAACAGCTTTGTGTTTTGGGCACTCCGCTGGGAGACCCACGTTCAAGTCACTGCTCTGCCTGATTCAGAGCCAAGACTTGAACCTCGGTTTCCCACATCCAAGATGAGCATCCTCCTCACCAGACTGTTATGGGAGGTGGTCGGGGGGTGTCTCTCTCACAGTCACACGCACCTCGGTTTTGTCTCAATGCAGAATGGGCATTTTTTTTGAAATCTCCACAGTTTTCATGGGACGAGAAACCGGTTTCCCACCCAGCTGTACTCCATTCTGACCTGGAATACCCTGGCTACCCTAGTACTGCCCCATGCTACTCCAGGCATAGGCCTCTAAGCAGAAACGGACACTTGAGTTGAATTATCTTCAGAGGAAGCTTTGAGGCTCCAGAGTCCTCAAGCTGGCGACTGCCACGCAAATGGGCATACCTGCGTCTTCTATGAAATGGAGCTGGGTGGACAAGTGAGTACGGCTTTTATACCATGCCCATTGCTATGGTACCTGAGCGTTTCAATACAGTATCATCCTGGGAGGGAGGAGGGAACTTTACCCCAGGACTAAGCAACCCAACAGACAAGGTCTCTTGATTTGCTCCAAGTCGATTCAGTAAGTGTGACACAGCAGAAGGTGAAATGGGTGTCCCCCACTCCCACAGGCCGTACCCACCCCTAGATGGCTGCAGAGGGAGGGCTGGGAGGAAAGCAGAAGAACCTGGCTGAGAGATGGCTTCCCAGTTTCTTCTTGGCTTCCCTCATGAGATAGGTGCATAGATTACTCGTCTGTTCCTTCATCCACCTAATGTCCTCGGGGACATCGGGCAGCCATTCCAGCAACCTGAACAGGAGAGGAGGGACAGAAAGAGAACAATTAGCCGAGAGGCCACTTCTTCAGACATGAGAGCTGGAAAACATCTTGCAGACCCTCTAGTCCTAGCCCAGCAGGGCCAATTTCCAAAGCTTCATATCAAATGACTTGAATGATGGCGCTTCCACCACTTCATTGATGAAGCACACCCTAGTTTTGCCTGGAGCAGCAAGATATACATGGATTTCACCCCTGAGTCATGACAGTCGGCAGCTCCTATATGTTGCCATCTCATGCAACTTTAGTTCATGAACTCCATGGAGGAGGTAACTAAGAGATGAAAGGCCACTTCACATTCAATATTCTATTCCCTATTCAATCCCTGAATTCCCTACACTTTTAAGCCTTCTTAAAGGTTTGGAAAGTGGTTTTCCTCTGCCTCTATTGCCTTCTTCCAGCCAGAAACACTGTTTTCATACTGTGGGTCAGTGCTTTACACCAATACCAACCACTGAGACTTGTTGCTCTCCCCTTCCCCCTAGGGTGGCAAAATGGGGTCAAAATTCAAATCCAAAATTATCCTCCTCTCCCTCCCTTCCCCAATCAGACCACAATGGCATGTTAAACCTTCTAGGACTCATCCCACCCCCACATGAACAATCAGGAGGGATGGGACTATGCGAACGCCACCCCTCTCTACCCTAGTTTCGCTCTTGTATCCTTCCACTCCCATATTAGCTGCTCTAGGGAAGTTTACTACAACTCTCAGAGCAAGTTTCCAAAGACAACCAGCTCCCTTCAACCTAGTGAGTCAGACGGGCTGTGGCTGAAGTCCCAACACAGAGGCCGATAGGAACTGAAGTCGTCTCTGTCCTGGGCAGCTGTTGTACACAGGAGGGCTGGATTAGATCCTAGCCCTGCCCTATATCCACGCCCGACCGGCCACATCGCATGTTACGCAGTGCTACCAAGCAAACGGGTGGGAGGTTTACCTGACAGTGAAGGAGACAGCTGATTCCACAGGCAGCGTGTAGGGGATCATCATGGCAGAGGCCAAGCGCACAGGCAACAAGTTGGTGATGCCAACTAATAGGCCCCTTCTCTCAGTGCAAGCTTCCAAAAGGGCTGAGGACAGAACAACACGGGTCAGACCAGCCACCTGGCAAATGCAGCGTGATTGTCCACCACCCCCTCCCCAGTGCTACATGAGCTTCAAAAATTACCCCACCTCAGGGAAAGTCTCACTCAGAGCATGTGCCGTTCCAAACGAGGAGACAAAGAGTTCAAGCATTTGGCTTCACCTGGCTCATGAGGAGCAAAATCCAGAAACCCCCTTCCCTCCCTCCAACAAAGGGGAGGCGAGTTCCCGCTCCAGCTCACTTAGGCCACATCTATACTACAGGGACTCTCCTGGCAGAGCTAAGTAGCGTAGAAGCAACCTACAGTGACAGAAAGGGTTTTTCCCGCAGGGTAGGAACGCCACATCCCTGAGCGACAGTAGGTAGGTCAATGGGAGCATTATTCCATCAGCCTAGCTGTGTCTACACTGGGAGTTAGGCTGACGCAGCCACGGTGCTGGAGGGTGTGGAGTTTTCACAACCCAAAGTGCTATAGCTGTGTCAACCTAAAATTTTAGTGTAGACCAGGCCATAGTCTCTATGGTGCCCCAGAAGAAGGTGTACAAGCATAACCCATTAGGCAGGATGTGTTGCACATGACCTCCCACCCCCCCTCCCCGATGCCCAGTCTATACAGAATGCGAGTCTTGTATGGCTCTCAACTACAGACCCTGGCTTTTTAGCTCAAGGTGTAGAGGTTCCAGGTTTTAGCTGAGAAGGGCTCCGGTTCAATACGCGATACATTAGCTAACATGGCGGTCAACAAGCAACATTCACATCCCAACAGGCCAATGAGCTATGCTGGTCAGCTTAGAGAGGAGAGAGTTTTTCACTGGAGCAGCTAGAAGTCTGGACTGTCCCCCTAGGGACCGTACCTTGGTTCAGTCTGGGTGGCAGGTGTTCAAAGATGTGATCTTCGACAGCAGCCAGGGCAGCGTTCTCCCTCAGCTGGTCTTCAGCTCCCATCTCCTCCTCCTCTGGGTCCCTCTCCCCTGAAGAGTTCTCAACGGCAAGGAGAGGGCGCGAGGGCCGTGGGCGGTGAAGGAGACCTGGGGAAGGAAGGTGAGTGGTGGGACTGTGGCAATTTAGCCAGTTGTTTTGCTTGCCGATTGGTTGAAGTGCTAGGTTTCACCTCATCTGATACCAAGAGGGGGTGGATTAACATTACAGCCATGAAATAGGCCTTCTATCTCCAACCGCGGGGAGCCATTTTGGCTACCTGTGTTATGATGCATAGCAAGGTATATTAGATACCTGCTCACCTAGGGTGCGACATGAAGCTGGAGTGCCTCTCTCAGCCAGATAAGCTAACGCCTCCCAGTACACTCTGGAAATACCGTAGGTTATTGCTCTCAACTTTATTGCTATATACTTGAACCATAGGCAGAATCCAAACCCATACAGGTGCATCAGACCCATGCTTAATCCAAACCTCTCCGATTTACTATATGGCACAGATCCAGCCCACCCTGCAAGACTATACCTACTTGTAACTTCACCATTGGCAGACCCTGCCTACATGAAGGTCATTTGCATCAGTGTAACCACACTTCACTGGTGCAGGCCTCCCATACTGATGCACTGTGCTGGCAGAAAGCACAGCTTCCCCCCAGAGCTAGGGTGACCAGATGTCCCGATTTTATAGGGACAGTCCCGATTTTGGGGGCTTTTTCTTATATAGGTACCTATTACCCGCCATCCCCTGTCCCGATTTTTCACACTTTCTGTCTGGTCACCCTACCCAGAGCAGCGTCATCCAGTAACATAACAGAGACACTGCCTTTGTTTCCTTAACGTCCACGGGGGGGGGGGGGGGGGGAGAGAGGGGGGGGGCTAAGCATACAGGACAAAATGAATGAGTAAGCTTGATCTGCTACAGGCTGGCCACAAGGTGGCACCACAGGCACATGCAGCGTGCCATGAAAACAGTGTTAACACAGGATGCCAGTAAAGTTGGAGCAGAAGCGTCTCACTGCATCAAGGCAGAAGATACTAGAGCTCTGTTCCCTGAAGTGCTGAGACACACTTTCGTTTATTTCATTGCTTACAGGCTTTGAAGTGTCAGAGGTCAAATTCACACCTGGTGTAACCCCGACTTCATTGCAGTTACACTAGGAATCAATTTGGCCTTGAGTTTTCCTGCATATCCCTCCCCAGCACCAACAACTTACAGTTAAACCCCATGGCCCAGAACAGAAGGGGTTAACCAAGTCAGACAGTGTCCCTTTAACATAAACAAAATGCAGTCACTGCAAGGAGGTAGCTTGGTGCCTTACCACTCTTCTTCAGGAAGTGCAGCGCATCCCGGTAGCCCTGCTTGCACATGTCCCGGAGCACCTGCACAGAGACACAGAGTGGGTCACTGGGGAGTTGGAGCGCAAGGTTGTTTGGTCAGGTGGAGTGTGGTGCAGATCTCAGCCGTGGGCTGGGATTTCTAGAGGAAATCCAAGAATTCTATCCCCATCCTGCCCCACCTGATCAGGAGGTTCATTGCTTATCCTTCCCCTTCCCACAAACTCATCCCTGCCAACCTCTTCATCTGCTCCCCACCCTGGCACTTGAGCAGCAAAGGAGGGAGGGAAGGGTCAGAAACAGTCTTGGGGGCAAGGGGACACCATGTGAAAGGAGGCACCACCTGTATGGCCATTTGCACCTCAAGAGCCAGCTCTCTCTGACCCAAGGTCACAGTGGGCATGTCACATCGATACATAGCCCTAAAAGTATCTCTTGGCCTCCCTGGTAAGCTGCTCTGATTGGTAGGTAAGTTGTGGAATCCTTCACCAACAGAAGCCAGGATGGTCCACTGGATATCTGCCCTTATAAAGCCCTTCAGAGAACGGGAGTGGTGGGCAGCGCATGTGAATCAGAGAGAGAGACAGAGAGAGAGAGAGAGAGAGAGAGAGCGCGAGAGCGCTCACTGTCCAAGCTATCCATGGCGCGAGTACCAAACAAGCACACTCAAAAATGACAGTGCCTAGCACCTGGTTGACGGGCAGTCACTCTGAGTCACCAATGGCAAGATGATGCTTATGCCTGAAGGTTCCAGACTGGCTTTTAAAATGCAGGGGCGGATTGGTCCTGGGTGCATGTGCGTCCTTCTTCAGAAGTGGTACCCATTTCTTGCATGGTGCCAATTAAATCAAAAGCCACCCGCAGGAGGATATTTTCAGGGTTTCCACCAGCGCCTGGATTCAGGATTTCCCAGGGGGAAGGACACCAGTGTAGCTTGTTTAAATGGTGATGGGATGGACTCTGGGGGCTTAAATGTCAATGTAAACATAGGATCCAGAGCTCCACCCACCAAACCGTGGTGCACAGTCAGCATTCTGCTGCCCCAACAGGGCGCTCACCTGAGGCTCTGGGGGGAACAAGGCTTTCGAGAGGCGGTAGAGGTTGCGAAGGTTGAACTGGATGCTGGTGTTGGTGACTCTCAGCTCGTGAATGTTTGTGGAGCTGTCCCGGGGGCAGATGTCACTCTCGCCTGAGAACGGAGACACCGTGATGGTGTTCTTCAGCTCGTATTGCGGCAAGTTGTCCGAAATCCCTCCATCAACGTACCTCTGGAGGGAAGGAGACAAAAGATGGATAGGGTTTTTTCCCCCGCACCTCTCCCTCCATAAGCCAGTTTCTATCAACGCTCTGCATCCCTATTACACACACTCACAAGCCAGGAGAGTACTACAAACAGAGTTTTCACTAACGGTGGCTGGACTGACAGCCATGACTTCCCATCTAGGGAGTTCGTGATTCTTTCTAACTGGCTTTTTCTGTGCCTGTTCACCTGAGAGAATTTTTAGTCACACAGGAATGTTTGTGGAGACAGGAAAAAGGTCACCCCTTGTGAATACGGATTCAAAAGTATTTGCACCAGAAACCACAATCAGTGCTCTTTGGGGGCTTGGGAGCCATCCAATCAAGGAGCAGAAATGATATGGTGACACTCAGGTGACCAATCACAGTGCAGGTGGCACTAACCTAAGCTACATTCACCATGACTAGTTTGCAAGGAAGTCTGTACTTTGAGCATTCCTATAAACCACGCATTTTAAAACAAATGAGTTAGTAAATACAGAAGCCTGCTGGTGGATAATTGGGAGATAAAAAAAATTAAAGCATAGACTCTTTGCTGCCAATTTGTCTGCTTAGCGGTAAAAGTCACATACGTGCCCATTTTAAACACTTTTAAAGGAACCCATCGGCTGGCTAGGTTTAGCTTTGGCATAGGAGTGGAATAGGAGGGTTCTCTGGTTTTGCGCACAATAACCATGTTCTTTTAATAGCAACGGTTACTGCTAATTATCCTTGGTGGAGAGACAGCTTTGGCATGTTCAGATCTAGCTAACTGGGTCAATTCAAAGCGTCCTTTAGCTTTTGCACAACCAGACTGAACAAGACGACTCCCATAATGGGCCTTTGTGATGGTCCAGAAAGCAGTATCCAGATGCTAAAGGGATGTGTTACTGGCTAGGCTGACAGAGCAGTGAGACAGAAGAGACTCCTGCAGAGCAAGAGGCAGGAACCTGTAATCTTTCAGATAAGGCTCCCATTGACTTGCAGAGAACTGCAGGGTCAGCCCCAATGTAAGAGACCCTTCTGTCTGGGCAGGTGACTAACAAAAAGGAATGCCTGGATGACAGATAGCTGGCTAGACCAAGCAAGACTAAGGAGATGCTGGTAGGAAGAGGGAAATGCCCATGCACATAGCTCCATTGAGCAGCCCATTAAAAGGACTGCAAGGCTGAAAGCAGACTAGCATAATAACAAGAAACCGGCAAGACCTTTTGGAAGTCAGCCCAGCCCCATAACAGGACACTCGAGTTCTGGCTCCCTTTTCAGCCAGGCCCATAACAAGGGTGGATCTTTCGCTGTGCAATGCCGGGAAGGGTTGGATGTTGGGGAGAGGAGAGGGGAGGCAGGAAAAAATGTTTTACATTTTGTTCTCTCTAGCTGGAAGGGAGACAAGTGGCTTATCTCTGCACAGCTCCCGTCAGTCCCCCGCTGTCACTGTTATTAACGTCCTTATGTAACAGGCCAGAAAAAATTCCTTCTCCACAGATGGCCTTTCACCTACTTCCACTGGGGAACACACAGCACATGCTGAACTTCTCCAGCAGGCTCCCAGGGCCCTGGCGAACAAGTTCACCTGCATGGTTCCTACTCCTGCCTGGACTGAGTGCTTTTGCCCACCAGGTGATCTCATGGATCGGGACTCTGGGCTGCACAGCATACTCCTCTGAGATAGCCCAGGGTGTTGCTTTTCCCCAGTTTTTTTATTGTTAGGTTTGCAGGGCAATTCTGAGTCAAAGGGCCTAAAAGTAAGAGTTCAAGGAGGGGCTAGATTCCCCAACGGTTTTTACAAGCAATGCATGCAATGGCTCCTACGGCAACGCAATTAGCGAATGGGCTGGGTGGTGTTTACTGAGTGGAAGCTGGCATCTCGACACACCAGATATGTGGAACTCGGTGACCATGCAGGACTCAGCAAGAGCAAGATGGGAGAGAGATAAAAGAGGGAACAGACAAAACTCAGGGGGGAAAACACAGCATGGAATAGCAATAAATGACCCCTGCACAGGGCGCTGCCTGGGCATTAGTGAACCCAGCCTCTACAAGTCGCTAGGGAGGGCCCTGCGACTCCACCTGGTATTTCACAAACAGTCCTCCTCTATCCCCAGCCTGAAGCCGGCTGCAGTTGTTGGGTACCATTCCCTATCCTGGCAGCAGCTCATTTGAAGGGTCACCCTGTACAGCCAGAGATGGAGAGACATGCTAACCCCACAATTTCAGGGGGAGGAGAAGGGAAGGCAGAAGGAGAGTAGATAGAGACGTCTGCTTTACAATATGAGAGGTTGTTGAATGTTTGACTACCTTGGGTCAGGGACTATCTTTTTGTTCTGTGTTTGTACAGTGCCTAGTACCATAGGGTTCTGGGTCATGACAGTAGTATACTAAGAGTTTAGACCAGTTGTTCTCAACCAGGGGTACGCATACCCCTAGGGGTAACACAGAGGTCTTCAAGGAGTACATCACCTCATCTACAGATTTGCCTAGTTTTACAACAGGCTGCATAAAAAGCACTAGCTAAGTCAGTACAAACTAAAATGTCATATGACTTGTTTATACTGCTCTATATACAATCACTGAAATGTAAGTACAATATTAATATTCCAATTGATTTATTTTATAATTCTGTGGTAAAAATGAGAGTCAGCAATCGTTCAGTAATAGTGTGCTGTGACACTTTTGTATTTTGTGTCTGATTTTGAAATAAAGTAGTTTTAAGTGAGGTGAAACGTGGGGGTAAGCAAGACAAACCAGACTCCTGAAAGAGGTACAGTAGTCTGGAAAGGTTGAGAGCCACTGTTGTAGACCATGGCACAGCCAGTGGTTTTGTAGCCAGGGTGAAGAAGCAGATGCTTTCCTGCAGGTGGCAGTATAAAGTAACAGCTCCAAAAAAGGGTGTTTTACTGCTGCAAAGGTGATGGTGCAGTGGGACTCTCATCAAAAGGAACCTATATGCGGGCCTACGCACCCTGCCATCTGGTTGACTGCTACTGACTGTTCCTAGTTCAGGCTCAGCTGCAGAGGCACCTTTGCCCCGGTGCCCATCTCTAGCTAAAACTACTCCTGTGCAAACCCAGCCTTGCTCTACACAGCCTATTATAATCTAGGCCAGGGGTCGGCAACCTTTCAGAAGTGGTGTGCCGAGCCTTCATTTATTCACTTTAATTTAAGGTTTTGCGTGCCAGTAATACATTTTAACGTTTTTTAGAAGGTCTCTCTCTACAAGTCTATATATTATATAACTAAACTATTGTCTTATGTAAAGTAAACAAGGTTTTCAAAATGTTTAAGAAGTGTCATTTAAAATTAAATTAAAATGCTGATCTTACGCCGCCGTCCCGCTCAGCCCACTGCCGGCCTGGGGTTTCATTCACCTAGGCCGACAGCGGGCTGAGCGGGGCCTGCGGCCGGGACCCCAGACCGGCAGTGGGTTGAGCGGCCCGCTCAGCCCGCTGCTGGTCTGGGGTTCCGTCTGCCGGCTCCTGCAAGCCAGGGTCCCGGCTGCTGGCCCCGCTCAGCCCGCTGCCGGTCTGGGGTCCCAGCCCTGCCCACATAGAGTGAGTACCTACCTTCTCCCTGGTTTTAGCCCATTCTCTTCCTCTCTCTCTGCACTGAGCTGAGAGTGGGAGTGCACTGAACACAGGGCTGAGGGTGAAGGAGCAGACTGGGGGTTGGGGTGTAGGGTCTGGCCAGGAGCTAGAATGAGGGAGGGGGCTCAGGGGTGGGGCAGGAGGTTTGGGTGTGGAGCACTTACCTGGGCAGCTCCCATTTGGTGTGAGGGGTGCAGGTGGGAATGTGTGTGTGTGGGGGGGGTGCAGGAGCTTCCGTTTGGTGCTCAGGGTGGGGGTGGGGATGTGGGGGGCGCAAGAGTCAGGGCAGAGGGCTGAGGGCATGTGAGGGGGGTGCAGGAGTCAAGGCATGAAATGTGGGGGAGCTGGGTATGAGTGGGGAGTGCCGGAGTCACGGCTGGGGTCGTGGGGGGTTCAGGAGTCAGGGCAGAGGGCTGGGAGCATCCCCATGACTCCAGCCCACACCCCCAGCCCCCTGCCCTGAGCGGCTCATGGCAGGGGGCTGGCGAGGATATGCCCTGATTTCATCCTCCTTCCCCAAGGCCCCGTCCCTTCTCCGGAGTAGCGAGCACGCTGTGGCTGCGGTTCCGGCTCTGCTTCTCCCCCTCCCTCTCCAGGGCAATCAGCTGTTCGGCCACAGGCAGGGAGAGGAGGAGGGGCAGGAACCCAGCACGCTGGGGGAGGAGGGAGCGTAGCTGCCGGTGGAGGCTGCCCTGCAGCAGCAGCCGGCAGGACCAAGCTTCTGCCCCCTGCCCCCGCAGGAGAGAGCAGGGGGCAGAGAAGAGCAGGCTGGGCCGGGCAGGATTTTTAATGGCACGCTGCTGCCTGCCGGGGTCCCTGCCACCGGCCCCACCCAGCCCGCTGCCGGCCTGGGTTCGGCAGCGGGCTGAGCGGGGCTGGCAGCCGGTACCCTGACAGGCAGCAGCGTGCCATTAAAAATCGGCTTGTGTGCCGTCTTTGGCACGCGTGCCATAGGTTGCCGACCCCTGATCTAGGCTCTGAGACCTTGAGTGATCCCCTCTCCACCCAGCAGTTACAGCCCTGCTAGGCAGGTTAGCTCTCAGTCCTTAGGAGCAGCCACGATTGGGGCAGGGCCAGGTGTCTCAGTCAAGGGTCCTCTTTTGTGGAGGAGGATCTATCTCTGGCTCCCCTCCAAGGCATGTTACAAGCTACATTTATTTCAGCTGCCCAGGAGTTAGTTCTGGGCCCCTTTTCCGTCTCCTCTCCCCAGCACCTGCTGCCTCAGCTGATCTCATAGCGGGAGCCTACTGGCCCTGCCCTTGTTTGTGTAGCACACAGATACAGCGCACACCCGGAGAAGACTGGGCTGGTTGCTTCTTTCCATTTTCATTGCTGGGAATTGGAACTGTCATGCCCTTCACTTGGCTCCTGCTGAAATGGAGCCATCAAACAAGGGCACAGCAAGG